GGCTGAATTGCACAAAACGCATGATCGCACCGGCTAGTCTGGTGCGCGTTGCCATTTATTATTCCTTCAGAACGCGTGGTTGCGAAATGAGCTGCCGATCACAGGGGGACATAGCCTTTTTTCAGTGACATCTTCGAGAAATTTTGCTGGTGGAAGACACCGTTTGCAACTTTTTCTTCAAGTGGATTTGTTATGAGATGCATTTTTGCTTGCACTTTTTTTTTGTTTTTCAAAATTACCACAATGAATGTTTGATGGAAACGTTCCCATTTTTTGAACTTCTATAAAAATAATAGCCTGGCGAAAAAATTTGTGCTGAGAAGGAATTGCTTTCTTCCATCTCGTACCTAACTTTCACTTCCACCTGTCGTCGTCCTTGTCTTTCACACAGCAGAAGGTGTTATAGATTTTATAAGATGCTGTAGTCTACATTTTGTAAAGCTGGGCTCTGATGTAACCACTGGCAGCTGAAAATTGATGATAAAGGAAGGTGTAGAAGAAGAAACTATTAAGATCCAAACGTATTATACGACGAGTTCTCCGTAGTGGAGACGACTCCACTCTGTAGTCTGAGCATTCCTCATAAACTAGTATTTTTTGCTTTTGTGATACTTTTCTGACATGTTATCGAAAATACAGAAAGCGCCTAACGGAAAGACGAAATTCGACAGAAGCCGCTGAACAGAAAGCGACGTCTAGCAGCATACCATCACCTTATTCTATGGTACGCTTTTTTTTTCGAGCCAGTTCTGGAAAGTTTTTATGGTGTATATGGCGCTGCTACGAGAGTCGAGTTGGGCTTGGATTGCTGTCTGTATTATTTACTTGGGAACGGTACTTTACACGGTACTATTGTGTAGCCCGTAATGCTTTACAGTGATCTTTCATAGTTGCCACTGAGGAGTTGAAACCGACCAAGAGCAAAAGCTAGATGTAAGAAATATCTGATTTCGAAAGACTTGGAAAACATTTGTTCAGAAAATCGCTAACGAATGGGTGTTGCTCAAATCGCTCGGGAAATTTGTAGAGCTGCTGTTTTAATGCAAGAACATTTTTGAGATTAGAGCTGTTTTTGGAGGCTTCTGCGATGTTACGGCTGAGAATATATCAGTTTAGATGCTTGTTCGCTGTTCACTTCCTCCGCAGCTAGCGTCTGACAAAACTTTACTTTCTGTTGGTCCTTTTAAAAATCCAAAGGCAAATGTTCAACTGCAGGTAACCGATGCAAAACAAGACACCGGGGCTTATTCTTCCGGGCATGGAAGCGATGAAAACGGCTCAATTTACAGCCGACCACCACTGACGCTATTTTCCCCACACACCAATCGACCGCGTAATAGGGAAAGTTTCTCAGCAAGTAGTGGCTACGAAAGTGCTACTGGTGTTGATGTAAGCAAAAATTACGGTGAGTTTGTTTGCATTTCGCAAACCCTCAGCCAAGAAGATATCCCAGAGAAGTGAAGCTGAAAGCAGCAGAGAAAGAGATCCATGTTACGGAGCACAAAATACTGATTACAAATTTCTCTTTTTTTCGGCAGAATTATTCTTTTAAATCGTCTTGTAATAAGAAACTCCACCGCTTTTCCAAATGTATTTTTCTTCTCCGAAAACTGTGTGACCAGTCTAAATTACTTGCCAGAATTGGAAACTTTTAATACTGTTCGTTATAAAATGATACAAGAAATTTTTCGGAGCCGCATCTCCGTCTTCTGACTTCAGAGCTAAAAGATCAGCGTCAAAAATTATAATTTGAAAATCAAAAATCAGATGGAAGATTTTTAAAAAATGGCAATTACGCACCAGGATAGCCGGTTCGATCATGCGTTTCGCGCGGTTCTTT